ACCCGACTTATGGCTCTCTTAAAAGGGACGTCCCCAAGGGTCCTCCTAAGCCTAACTCCTAGAATTCTTGTTGTATGGTTATGGAAGGTGCCAGCAGGATTTGGCCCCACGTATTCTGCATGTCGAAGTGATCGGTTGCTCGTGAGTTGCATGCTGGCTTTCAGGCTCTGCACCCCCCAGCTGCGCCGCCTGCCAAGCTTGCGCCACCAAATCCTGCGCCTCCTGTGCCACGATGCGTGATGCCTCCACGCGCCCCGCGCCCACCGCAGGCTTGAAATGCTTGTTTCTTTGCAGGAGCTTCTCTTTCCTCAACCAGAGGCAAAACACACGGAGCGCTTGCAAGGCCCCACCTCCCGCACACCTGGTGGCGGCAGCCAAGGCCGCTGCCGCTGCCAGAGCTCTGTCGGGGCCCACACAGCGGCAGCTCTCTGGCACTCTCTGGCAGTGTTTCCTAAAAATCTGGGGAGGAAGTTTCAAGAAGCCAGATCATCAGAGCGACAAGTGTAGGCTGAGGAAAGCTACCAACAGAAGGCATGATTCTTACAACAGGAGTAGAACCATTTCGAGGAAAGGGAAATCGAGCGAACGCTGTTGAGCAAAGATCGGTTTTACGTGCTTTGTGCGGAGGTGTGCTGCTAGAGTAGTGTGGCGCTTCAACAGATGGAAGCCCCAAGATGCAGACATGAGGCCCTTGCCACCCCCGCCGACGGAGCCAAGCATGGGTGTGCGCGTGCCCTGTCGCTACCCCAGGCTTTGGATTCACGCGGTTACTGGATAGTCTTGGACGGGCTGTGCCGAGTCCTTTTGGTGCCCGTCACGTCCGTGGCACCGTGGTCAACGTTCCTGACACTCCGCCGTGGCGAGGTGCGGCTGAGACATTAAGTTACTGCTCCGCTGGGGGGGAACTCTTCCCGGTTAGACTCGAAGGAGCTCTGCTCAAGAGCAGCCTTGGGTCATGCCATGGCGCCCTGGACCTGAGGCTGGCAAGGACCTTCGACTCCAAGCTACACTGCTGCAGGGCGATGCTGTGGCAGCTCAGGCGATTGCACTGCAAGAGCAGTGATCCAGAGCTTGCGAGCCCCGGTCAACAAATCTGAGAGGCCTTCTTCGAAGCCGCCGGGCGCATGTTGATCATACGTCTGGAGCTGAGGCATTCGTGCCAAACCCTCAAGATGGCAAAGTTGTGTCAGGCCACCGAGTGCCATTCCACGAGCTGGGGAAGCATGTGGCTGCCTCAACTGACAGTCTTGCCCAGGAGGAATCGAGCCGTCGAAGCTTTTCATCTCCTGTGACTCCGTGTTCGCTCGCTCGAGGGGTTGCCAACCAGTAAAGGTCTTCTTCTAGGGTTTGGGTTTGCGAAGAGATGTCTTCTTCTTTTCGGGTTTGGGGCTTGCTAACAATTCAATAGTGTTTTCGGCGATCCACCTTTGTCTACAACATCTCATTTCCGGATTGTTGGGTTGTCAAACAAAGTCATTTTCTTTCGCGATGTGGGGTTGCCAACCAATGTCTCCTTTCAGGGTGTGGGGATTTGCCAATCAGCATATCCTTTGTTGGTTTGGAGTTTGCCAGCCGATGTTTTCCCTCTCGGCTGCCGACCAACATCTCAATTTCAGGGTTTGGGTTTTGCCAACCCACGCCTTTCTCTTTCCGGACCTGGGGTTTGCCTGCTTTCCTGAATCTTTCCTGGGTTTAGCCAATGTTTGCCAATATACGGTGCAGCGTGGCCCGACCCCCCTCCATGGTTACCCCCCTTACCCCCCTATTATGCTCCACCCCCCCCCTGTGCTGTGGGGTGGGGGGTTGTTTACGTGGGTTGTGTACCCCCGCCCTCGTCCCCTGTGGTGGGTTTTGGGTTGTACCCTCCCCCCCCCCCCGTAGTGCGGTGGTGGGTTCTGAATTTCAGGTTTAGTGTTGCGAGAACAGATCTGCATACATGTACAGCCCTGCGGCGACGCACATGGCTCAAGCAAGAGCAAAAGGTACGATTGCACCAGGCCTGAGCGGACAGGTGTTCGAACAGCCCAGACCCTGGATATGGATGAGATTGCCAAGGAGGACGGCGCTGGGAAGCTCCTCGACCTCTTCGAGAAGACTCTGCGTCCCAAGCGGATGCAAGGGAGCTCTACCAGGCCGGGGCCGCTGTACATGGAGTTCTCTCGAGACAACCTGGCGAGCCGATGGCGACCTACATCCTTAGAAGGAGAACATGGTACCGGTGCCTTATGGACTGCAGCACGGAGATGAAGCTACCGGATATGGTCCTTGCGGAGCAATTGTTAGCCTCCGCGGGGATCAGCTTGGATCACCAGCTCCTGGTGAGGCACTTTGCAGGGAGTCCTCAGCGTTGATGGAGTGGCCGATGAGCTGATAGCGCAACACAGCCGTGTACATGAACGTGAGAAGCGCGGCGATCCGGGAAAAGGCCCCGGTGGACGCGGCTATCAAGGCCACCGCCCCTGGACCACAACAACCACGAGAACCTGGAGGCCCACCGGATATCTTGCCGAAAGCACCGCCCACACGGAGGTTGCCGAGAACAGGCCGAGGACAGCGACGAGCTGGACCACGAGACCGGCTACGACGAGGAGCTCACCGTGGCCGAGGAGCGGATTGGCTACTTCGTCCAGGCCGGGCTGGACCTTGAGGACAACGACGTGGCCGAGCACGCGGCAGAGATTGTTCAAGCAGAACACGAGGCCTACTTTGTGAAAAAGGGGGCCTCACAGAAGGGTTCCCGTGGCCTGGACCCCGTCAGTTCTCGGTGAGCGGCAAGCTGTCTATAGAGGGGAGGCGGCAGAAGATAGCAGACCTCAAGTCCCGCACGACCTGCCACAAGTGCGGACAATGAGGGCACTGGTCAATGATGCCGGTCCGGAAAGACACGGCCGGGATCGTCACCGACTTCCTCTACTACCAGCTCTCCTGGGAAAGGTGGGCCTCCAAAGCGCGGAGCACGCAAGCCGCGAGGCGTCTACTTTACCATCTGCCAAGACCCGACCGTGAACGACAGGACGGCCCACCTCGCCTACCACCACCGAGGACCACGAGCTGGAGGAGACTATCGAGCTGTTCTACCTGATTGACCTGGAGCAGGACAACGAGGACAGCCCGGACGGACAGCATTGTTGCAGCGGAACAGCGGGCGAACTGGACCGACCTGCCACTAACGGGCCGTGGAGCCGGCCGAGCACCGGTGGCTGGGGCTGGAACGACCGGCCTTGACGGCGAACGAGATGAGGACAAGATGCTGCAGGAGTCTCTGGGAGCAATGAGCAATGGAGGTTACGCCGATCAGACCGCCACACCGCTCCTGCCATGCCCGCCTCTACCACTCCGACCTCCACGCCTACCCGAACGGCGCCGACCGCATCTATGACGCGATCCCGGAAGGAACCTCGACGCAAAGGCCGCCCTGCCAGCACCTCAAGACCACCACGAGAGGATCGAACTCACACTTTCGCAGGTAACTTGCCTCGAGTGTGGTGAGCTGCTGGAAAAGACCAAGGTTGAGGAGTTGAGCTTGGACACCACCGCGTTTCCTCCTGACGCCGAGGACGAGACCTACCTCACCCGCGAAGAAGTCGGGGCAGATCAAAGGGAGCTCGCTCAGGGAAGCTCTTCGACTTATCCTGCGCACCGTGACGGTTTTCAACGAGCCCTGCTTGGAGACGAGGGGCTCTGCACCCCGCTTTTCTGAAGCAGCTCCACAGAAGGGAAGTACAAGAACGAGCCTGCCTACCAAAACTACCGGGACACTGGCTACCGCAACTGGGTCTTTGCCAACATCGACGACCACATGGCCGGGGAATGAAGCAGCTGAAGCTACTCTTCCAGGAGATCCGCGAGTATGGGGCGCACTTTCGGGGCCTCTTGGATGATCCGCCCGGCTGTCCTATATGGTGACCGACCTCGACTACCCGACTGCCGTGGCTGGATCTGAGCGCTCTCTTATATGCGTCCTGGACACTGGCTGCAACGGGAGCCGATGGCTGGACAGGTACATGGCCCTCGCAGGAGGCACCGACCCGACGAAGGAGGAGGATGTAAAGGAGCGTGGCGACCAGTGGAGCTCGCACCTTGGAGCTTTGCTTGAGCTTGCAGACGGACATGCCAACGGGACCCTTGCGGAGCGTCGAGATTGAGAACAGCGACGCCCCTTTGCTGCTCAGCCTGGAGGCACAGAAGCAACTTGGACTGATACTTGACCTCCGGCGTGAAGTCGCCAGTCTCAGACGTTGGACCGTGACCTCCGCCTCGTCGTGAACTTCAATGGGCTATTTGCCTTGCGTATCCTCCCCGAAAACTTTGGCTACCATGCTGACCAAGGAGACGGCGACAACCCCGGATGAGGACGCACCTTCAGACAGCCAGCCCGCGAACGAGAAGGACCACAAGCACCAACCACAGAACGAGAAGGACCATAAGCACCAACCGCAGAACGGGAAGGGTCACAAGCACCAACCGCAGAACGAGAAGGACCACAAACACCAACCGNNGAGCCGGTGTAGTTTCCCCCGGGTCCACCGTGCACACTGGGACAACCTCGCGTGGCCTCGCGCCGGCCCGCGCTTCTACAAGATCCTCAGCCGCAGGCGTTTGCGCTGAGATTTTCTATATTCCGCAGCCCTGGCGGTTATCAGGGTCCCATTGGCTGCGGTCCGCCGCCCACTGGTGGTTTTTTGTGGTGGCACCACGTGCATGTGGTGCGCAATTTTGATCTTCTACCTCAACCTGGCCCTCAGTTCACCGAGCGACGGCTTCCGAAGCAGCGTGGCACCGACGTGCCCGGCGACAGCGGACGCGGTCAAGAACCCTGTTGAGGAGGTTCCTTTCGGACGCAGCAGCCGACTGGGGACCAAACGAACAGCGGGCAGTGGAAAGCCTGCAACACCATCATTCACACAGCCAGCTTGCACAGCAAGCCCTCCGCAAAGTTGCCATGGCGACCACAACAGCGGCATGGAGATGCTACTATTGCCGGCAAATGGTGAAAGCAACTGCCATCTATTGCCCAGGTTGTGGGCAGCACTGGCAGAAAGCTGCCACTCCTCAATCCGAGACCTACGACCAGGACTACGGACAGCAGTGGCGACAACCCAGCTCACCTCGACAAAGACAAAGACCGAAGTCACCGCGCTCCAGACCAGGCAAGGACAAGGGTGGAGGCAAAGGCAAGCACAAGTGGCAGCAACCGGCGGCACCAAGCTATGCGGTTGCTCCCTGGCACCCGCCACCGCCACCCCCTGGAGTTCCGGAGCAGCGAGGAGCTGGCGAAGGCGATCAAGGAGTTCAGGAGCTCCTGACGGTCCTCCGGTCGACGATGACACAACAGGCTCTCCCCCCAGCAATTGCAGAAGCACTTGCAAGAGTGGATGTGGATGCTGGAAGAATGGTGACCAAGACGATCCACAGCCACACCAACGCGATGGGAGCCGCGAAGAAACAACTACACTCGGTCCGTGTCGCACGTCAGCAGCAGGAGACGGCATGGGTCGAGTTTCTATCGAAGACGATCGAAGCACTGGAGCAAGGCGCGCAAAAATTCCAAGAGACAATGAACAAGTACGTGGAGCAGGAGGCCGAGGCAGCTCAACGGCTTGCTCAGGCAAGGAAGGCCATCCGGGAGCTGGCCACGGAGACTGCGGAGAAGGGAGTGAAAGAGGAAGCAGAGGATCTGGACGACTCCGACATCGAGCTCATGGATACCTAGACTTCGACAGGCACGGGTGTGGCAGAAGAGGCCAAGGTACAGCAGGTGCAAAAGAAGCTGCGGGTGACCTTGGACGAGCTACTTGCCAAGCTGCCAGCCACAGACGAAGGCACTCCGCGACGTCGAAGTCGTGGCGCTCCGTCTGGTGGGCCTGGCTTGCCCTCAACAGAGGGGACCTTGACCACTCCGTTGCCCCCTGCCAAGGCCACCGTCCCAGTGCCCTAAGGCTCTCCTTCGTTCACCAGGTTGATCGGAACGAGGGGGGCGGCTGGCCGATCTACAAGCACTCCGTCACCAACGAGCCCGATTACCTCAGTCCCGCAGAAGCTTGTTCTTCAGCGAGGCTTTGGCAAGAATGCTCCTGGATGCTAGACTTTTCAGAAGAATGGGCTGACAGCCTCGCCAGTTTGCGAGGAGCCCCAAGATTTATCGACAGATGGTTTGGACCTGCCCTGGAGAACGAGCTCCTGCTCTCCATGCACGAGTCTAGGCCTAGTCTGGCGACCGCTTCTTCGGATGGCAGCCACATGCTTCGTGCTGCATGTTCTGAAGACGGACGAAGTCAGGCCGAGGCTCGTT